TCTGCTCAATTGGGGGTCCAGAGGATGGAAGCACAGCATACGGACTCAGGCAGCATCTCTTCAACCAGCCTTGATTGCCAACAAGACTGTGGTCTCCATCTGCTTACTCCTTTGTCCTGTTTCTCCATTATCCAGAATTTGGGTGGGAAAGAAGGGTGCTATTTATGGGGACCTCAAAAATTCCTCAGTATAAGTTGGGACCACAGGTACAGTCAAGGCCAAACCAGAGAGACTTAGTTTTGTCAAGGTTTGGAGTTCATTCTATGAACCTGGGAAGTCTTTGAAGGGTTTGTATGTAGGAGAGATACCTGATCCAGCCTGCGTTTTGAGAAAGCCTTTTGCTGCTCTGCAGGGTAGAGCTGGGGTGCATCTTGCCCTCTGTTCTCTGGCTCCAAACAGATGACCCGAGGTATTGAGTCAGGTATCCAGGACAGGCAGAGTGGTAGCAGGATCCTAGCTCAGAGGGAGAAAGTCAGATGCAGCTCCTCCTCCAGCCTGGGCTACTGGGACATCCGGGGTTCCCTCTACCCATCTCAGAATCTCCATGAGATGCTGATATTTACACAGGGCTTACTTTGAACAGTGAGTAATGGCCTCATATTTTTAGTTGTTTGTTCTGAAAAAAAGAAAAGGTAAAATTTGGTTTAAGGTAAATAAATGCAGTTTAGATGACAGAAGACACATTGGCAACAATTCATTTTATTTGTACATGGTATCTGTCTCTAGATTTATTGGTGAGGTAGGATAAATATAAATATTTGCAGAAGATGGAGAAGGAAAGAGAACAGTGTAGCTTGGCCATGAGCTTGTTGGGAAAGGAGAGAAAGAAATAATGGTCATCTGTGATCAGAGCTTGAAGGGAACAGAGGGCTGAGAAGGAACAAACAAGGGGTCCAGGAAGGCTCCCTGAAAGAGTGATTCGTAAGCAGAAACCTAGAGGATAAGAGGCCATGAGCCAGTGAGTGAAGTGTGGTAAGGGATGCGTGGAGAAAGTGAAGGACTGTGATCCTGAACCCGAGAAAGGAGCTGGGGTGGAGCAAGATGAGGGCCAGGTTAAACCAAGCTGAGGAGTAACACGGGAATGTGTTGGAGCAGCACCTGACTTAGCCAGAAGAGACTGGGGCTGGTCTTGGGAACTTCTAGATCTTTGGAACTAGGAATTCTGCAGGCCGACAAGGTGCAAAGACTGCCTAAGGACAGCGGGTGTGAAAAGACACGCTGTGGGCTAGCCACATTCTTCAGGAAACTCGCACCACAGCCTCCGGCTCTGCTTATGTTCCCTCATTCCGTGTTTTCTTTCCCATGTGTTTGTCCATGGGGAGGATGTGTCCGGGTGTTTTCATTGGAAATAAAGGTCAGGTTGTTTTATTTACTGCTCTGGCTATGAAAAGCCCTTAGTGCTGGACCAGGTTTGGCAGAATGCAACCAGAACTGTCCCCAGGATATTTATTTCCGGAGTCTGTTTACTCTATGTGGATTCCAAGGGACGCGTTGCACTGGTGCAGAGATGAGCTCATGTTTGGAAGTTGATCTAAGCAGCAGAAAGCTCTGAGGATCACACTGAGCTCAGGAAATCCAGAGCCAGAGCACAGAGAAATTGAGGATAAGGAGAGCTCCTGAATAAGTCAGATTAGATATGAAACATTTGGGCTTCAGTTTGTGCTCCTGGAAAGATCCCCTCTTCCTCTCCCTCCGTACTTCCTGACTCAGCACTCCAAGGCCAGGCCTTAAAGTAGCAGTGATTGCAGATAATCCTGCACCGAGAGTCACTTCCCATCACTCCCCACTTCCTGAAAGTGACTCAGCATGGGAGGCCATTTCTCTGTAGTATGATTGGCACCCAAAAGGTCTCTCGAAGGCTCAGTGTGCTGAAGACTTGTTTGTGGATGGGCTTATGGAAAGTGATCAGATCATGAGAGCTTGAACCTCAGTGAATCTGGGCAGCAAAGAAAGAGGAAGTTGGGCTTAGTTGAAGGAAGTAGGTGAGGGAAGTGTGACCTTGGAGACTATGTCTTGTCCCCAGCCCTTCTCTCTGGCTCTTTTCTACTCTCTTGGCTTCTGCTGCCATAAGATGAGTGACTTTTCTCTACCATATCTTTCTACCATGATGTTCTTTCTCACTTCTTCCCCACGTGAATGAATGGCCAAACATGGGGTGAAACCTCTGAAATTATGAGCCCAAATAAACCTTTAGGTGAGTCTTCCAGGTATTTTGTTATAGTAACGGAAAACTGACTAATACATTGTGCTACTTCTCCTCTTGTGATATTCATAGGTCTTTCTTTGACTCTTTTCAGCCCTCCAAACCTGCCCATTTACTTATGAGTTGTCATTAGGAAGACCCGTCATGGTCTTGGAATTTTTATTTATTTATTTTGTTTTTTTGCAGCCCACGCAAGTGCAGGAATTTTACCTCTCTTATTTTCCTATCTCGGGCCTGGAGGCAGGCTTTCTTGCTTTTCCTTGACACCACCAGACTTTTGTTCTTCCCACCTCTGAAGCCCTCCAGCACTTTTGAAACACAAGTCATGGGACTTTACCACCTACTTTTGCTTTTGCACCACCTTCCTTTCTCCTCTTCATGCCCTCATTTATTAATAATTTTAGCACTTTCAGTTCAGTGTTTGCACTTCCATGCTTGTCATTATTTTCAATATTCTGAATATTGCAAAGTTGAGTTATTCGATATTTGGCCTCATTGTTGCAAAGATCTTATTCTTGGATCCACATCAGCCTTTTCTCCCTCCCACCCACACCTCCACTGCATTTCACAAGCATCTTCCATCAACTCCTGTTCTGGCCTGGGACTGCAGGCATGTGCCACTCATGCCTGGCTTTACTGTTGCTCTTATTTGTGAGAAATTGACTGCTAGAGACAATAATTTGACTTTGATTCACTCAGTTACTCTTCAATTAATTCTGATCTCTTCTTGTGTTAGTGTTCAAGATTCTAGCTACAAACAAGCAAAGTTGCTGTCTTCCTGGACCTCAAGATTTCTCAGAAGATCAAATATCCTTCTCTTTTTTTTTTTTTTGTGGTTTGTTTGTTTCTCTTTTTTTTCCAGGAAAAGTCCTCCCTTTTATTTTATTTTATTTATTTATTTTGGTACCAGGGATCGAACTCACGACTTTGCGCTTGCCAGGCAGGTGCTTACACCACTGAGCTAAATCCCTAGCCCAGTTTGCTCATTCCTCTAGAATATAGTCTGAGTGGAAGGAGAGATGAGTAACACAGGAGGATGGTTAGAGGTTGGGGACTGAGTAGAAAAAGAGGGAAGTGAGGCAAAGAAGAAAACCTGGAGAGTTCAGTAGCCTATGAGCCAAGGGAAGGATGCTTCAAGAAGGAAGGAGTGATGGGTTGGAATCTCCCTGGAAGGTGAGATAAGGACTCAGACTTTCCCACTGGATGCGCATTTTAGACACAGAGTTTTGGTGGAGTAATGAGCTCTGAAATCCGATGAGTGGACCTAGGAAATGGGCCAGGTAGGCCTGAGAATATGAGAAGAGTTGGCCTCAAGAAAATTTATGTTGGAGATGATTTCTGAATCCCAGGGACGAAGGAAGAGGGGTGGGTGACTGTGTCTGGGACGTGACATTGTATAGGAGAACTCTGTTAGAGGAAATGGACCCAAGTTCCTATGGCTGACACCCTGAGTGGATCTGTATGCTAAGCTAGACTCAGAGTTGGCTGTGGGGAGTTGGAAGATTGAAATTAGTAGCGTGAAACAAATTTGGAGTTTCTGGGCTGGGAGATTTTAAGAAGAAGGAACAGAAAACTGAAGAAAGCAGTCAGTGCACAGCAGGAGACCAAGGCCTAAAACTCATCAAAGATGGCTAAAATGACCTAAAAACAAGAACAAATAAATTTCAGTTCCATGTTAACAGCTATATGTTGTGGCCATATGACCCTCTTCTATGTTAAGCTCTAGGCTTGTTTGGGTGTTGGCAACATTCTGGTTTTCACAGATGGTTTAGGGTAGGGTTGAGAAGATTTATTAAGTTAATCTTTTTAGAATTCATCTTCCTTCAACTCAGAATATATACACATGTGCACAGCTCCCACAGATGCCCAGCACACACACACACACACAGATATGTTGTTTTGTGAAACAATATTTGTCCCTACTTTGTGTTATACAGTTAAAAACCAAATATGACCATATTCTTATTGAAATAAGCAGTTTCAAATAAATACAATTATATAATTTCAAATAACCAAAGATGTTATGTGTACTGGGATTATAGGCACATGCTACCACAAAAGTTGTGCTTAACTTTGTAAATTGATCGTCCTTAAGACACTGTGGACAAAGCTTCAAATATATCTGGTGAAGTGTTGGTGATGTTCTTTTTTGTTTTTAATCCAATTAAGGTTGAAAATTTACTTCATCTAAATGGGTGGCTGTGGATGATAATTGTAGTGTCATTTTTCCATTTAACTGCAGAAATTTTCACTCTATCTTAATCCAAAATAACATGGACGTGTTTTATAGTCATTGTTCAATGCAAATGACTAACCTGCAACAATTCATTCCCTTCTTTGGACAGAACTGAGTTATACTCGATTATTGAATCAGGGTTTGGAAAAGAAAAGAGATTTGTAATCTAAACATATTTCTTTAGTGTTTCAATTTTCTTTTGGAAAGTTAAACATTTTAAAAATTGAGGCAGACAGAAGTTAGAACAACAGCTCTGATTCTATTTCTGTTGGACTCTACTTATTAGTCTGTTCTCTTTGATGTATTATTGCAACATTACTGGGAAATCTTTTGAAAATCTATATTGAGTACTTGATTTTTTTCTTGATGATTTCACTCAGTTCATTAGGAAAGTTAAAAATATGAGCTAACATACTGACTTTATGAATAAACATCTTTGAAACAGTTGTCAAATGATACTACTTTTCAGTCAGAAAGGTACACTCCCATTTTAGATTTTGTATATTGTGCTTAGCACTTTCCTTTGTAACAACCAATAAACTTTCATCAACTCTAATTTCCGAATAAGATATTTTCAAACAGCTGTTCGGTTTAGTGAGTTTCCTTTAATAAAATTAACAACATGGACTGTTTTTCTATTTCTTTTTGAGATTTGGTATGTTATCTTTGGCTGCCTATGCCAAGACATATAAAAAACATTATGGCGGACCATGTGGGGCCCAGGGAAAGAGAAGCCAGTCCGCTGTTCCCATGAGTCAGCAGAGGCCATGCTGGGTCTGGAAGGAGCATGTCAAGAAGTGTGGTCTTCCCGTGAGCTGCACAAACCAGGCGGGGCCCAGGAAGAGAGAAGGCAGATTGCTTTTCTCCCATAAGTCTACTAGCAACAGGGCTGAGAATCAAGATCCTCTAACCGCATGCCAAAGGAAACTGGCTGATTCAGACAGGATCGGTTGACAGCAACTGAGGTATAAAAACAACTAAATGCTTCTATTGTTTGATTGACTTTGCAGGAGTAAGGCCGGTAGTCTAAGCACTTACTAGGAGGATGACAGTGTGCAATACAGCAAATATGGGGGATTTCCTTCTGTCCTGTTTTTGAAATCCAATATTATTCTCATTGTTTTGTTCCGATTAATTGTTTTGCTTTATTCTCTTTCAATTGGTCTTATTATGTTTTGTTTTATTCAATTTTATTGTATCTGAGGAAATGGACAACTATTGTGATGATAACAAGGTGTACTGTGGTAGGACGTGTTGTCCTTTTTGAAGTTACGTTTCACTTTCACTGCTTCGTTTTGATTGACTTTATTCTGTTCTTGGATTATATTCTCAAAATAAAATTAAAAAACATTAATATTAGCTTGTATTTATATCCTCTATACAGAATTCTAGTTTGGGTCACCCTGACTTGCCTATCAAAGGTCACCTTCCTGCCCACAAGTTCTCTGTGTCTAGGCTCTCTGGCACCCAGGACCCCTTGGCTGGATATGGTGGTGGTGGGGTTCACCTGTTCAGAGGGCAGACTTTCAGGAGGACACAGTGTTCCCTGAAGACACAATACTCTCTGCTTTGGGACAGCAGTATGCCAGAGCTTACCCTTGGCTGGCGCTGCTGTATCTCCTTTCTCCCCCATGTCTCTCTGGCTGAAGTCCAGGATTCCCCACTGAGGAGATCTGTAATGCCTGGGGCTCCAGGCTAAGGCTCAGGACATTCAGTGGCCCTCCACTGGGAGCAGATCCTTCCCTTGCCAGCACAGACAGCGGGACATGGGTAGGCTGTCCCCTACTCTCCTGTGTTTGAGAAAACAATAGGGGAGTGCCTGGTCTGTGTGAGCTGCTGTATACCTCTCTCTTCCCTGAGTCTCACAGTCTGTAGCTCTCTGCCTGCAAGCCTTGTGTTGCCGAGGGCTTGTGGTTTTCAGCTGCTCTCTCCTAGAGGCAGGGAGCTTCCTTTGCCAACGTTGAATGATGGGCAGTGGTCCGGATACCACAGAGACAGGGGTGTTTGGGAGGTGTTTGGGAGGATGGTGGCGGAGGGAGGGACAGTGTGTGCTCCTGTTGCTGGCACTAATGTTCTCCCCCTGTGGCTCTGATTGCAATTGTTCTACTCTGGATTTTCTCTTCCAGGTGGCAAAGAGAGCAGGCAGGGAGCCTGTCCACGTCTGGCTGCTGCTTTTAGGATATTAGAACTGCTCCCAGTATGGTACGTTAACTGATGAAGGAGGTAAGGGGTGCTGCCAGCTAGTGGTAACCGTGCTTTCCTCTCTCAGCCATCCTGGTATTGGGTTCAATCTAGTGATTTCTCCTTTAGTTCAATTTTCCATGTCTAGGTATGTTTGCCTCCTCTGTTTCAGAATACACGACCTGCCTTGTCTGTCAGCTTATCTGCCAGCTTCCCTCATCACCACCATCTCTAGTTGGCCATGATAATAACACCAATATTGTACACTTGTTTAATTTTATCACTATTTAGTTCAGTTGTATGATACTCCATGAATTATGTTACCACACACTTGACATAAACGAAAAGTGTTGCTTCTTTTATAATATCAGTGTCCTCAAATTAGGTCTCCAAATCTATACTTGCTTAGATATTTTGTACAATCATACTGTTTTCACTAAGAGGAAGAGCTTAATTTTATGTTGATTTATCATTAAAAATTACACATACTATATCCTTAAATAAGGAAAGAATAGTATTCTTAGGAACTGTGTGATTGATTTTGTCTCTTACCACTCAGTATATAACTACATATGAGAATGATTTTCTTATTTATTTATTTATTAGTCTTTTTGAGACAGGCTCTTGCGATGCAGTTTGAGCTGGCCTTGAGCTCACTTTGTAACCCAGGCTTGTCTCAAACTCTCAATGATCCTCCTGCCTCAGCCTCCTAAATGCTGGGATTACAGGCATGTGCCATTGTGCTTGGCTGACTTTCTTATTTTACATATACACTATATGCAGCAGGCTTTTTTCTGTGGGCTTCATATGTATTATCTTCACAGTGCCATGGACTAATGATCATTATTCTTATTTTCTAGATAAGGAAATGAACTGGAGAGGATAAAGTAATTTGTTCAAAGTCTCATAGTCTGTAGGAGGAATTCTGGAATTTGAACCCAGGCAATTAACTTCAGAGTTTTGTTTGTGACCAATATATCGGACTATTTCTCAAATTAGACATTGTGTCGATATGTTATGATTTATGTTATGAATTTTCCCCCTTACTTTAACGCATTGGAGGAACTCATCTGAAAATCCATAATTACCAAAATAAAATCCATTAGATTCTGCCATTTTCAAAGGATTTTTCATAATAGATAAAGCTTACATTTTAAATAATCTTCATTATAAAAGTTTGGCTTGACTTTAATTTTTTATAATGATACATTAAGTTAAAGTTTATTGATTAGAGCCAATATTTTGCATAATATTGTTGAACTTGCATACAAGCCTATGGAATTTGCACCTCATTCTTATTTTTGTCCTCTAATAATATAGTGTCCTCTGTTTCAATGAAAAGGTTACCACTGTTCAGTGATTTTAAAAAGACCCACTTGGTGACATCCTTTCTAGAAAAAGATCTCACCAATTTGTAATGGAAACCCAATTGAAAGTCTCTGTAATTTTGCTGACAAGGGAAATGAAAATTATGTTAATAGAAAATCAAAGTTCATCAAATTAACCTTCCTATTATGACAATGGTCAAAGTGACCATCATCACCTGAGAAATACAATGAGATGTCATTGCACAGAAGAGCAGATGTCTTGTTCCTAGCCATCATGTGCATTCATCACATGCCCATGCTGTCTCCCTTATGCGTATGGGAGCAATTGGCCACAGCATTTGCTACAACATTTCTGTTGCCAAGATTCCTGCTATGAACTTAAATATTTTTCTGCTTAATTTAAAAAATGCTGGCTTGTGACCTCCTTCGCGGACTTTATGATACCCCAAGGATGGAGCCATTGGGTAAGTGCCAGGGTGGAGAGAAATTGGTATTCATGAGATATAGAGTCAAGAATAGGAATTACAGGAAGTTTGGTGGAGTCGCACAATGAGTACAGAAGTGACCCTTTGAGAAGTTTCAAGAGGTGAGACCTTGAGAAGTTTCAAGAACCCCCAGCAGGGCACTGGCACTTCCCAGTGTGTGCATGGAAGTTTGAGCTGATTGTTTCCCATGGACCCCATTGCTGTTGACTGGTACTCACTTGAACACAGTAGCAGTAGAGTGAAGTGATCCAGAGAATGAGTCTTGTGAATGATTGCAGGGTTAAAATCTTTGTTCTGCCATGTGGAGATGTAGGAAAGTTACTTAACCTATATTTAGGACTCCGTTTTCTCATTTGTAAAATGAAAATGATGATAGCATTGCACTCAGAGCCCTACACATTATTCTATACTAGCCATTTAAAAATACTTAGAATAGTGTTGTGAACATGGTATGAGTGGTTGAAAACCAGCTTTATAAATAATTGCCAAGGGAAGGTGTGCCTAGCCCAATACAGGGTTGTTATAAATGCTCTCTGAGGGCATCTCCTCTGGGTGAAAGGTGCTTCCCAGAATTAAGTTACTCGGAATCACTGTGATTCCCCATTGGATCTATTCTGGGAGTCCACTATTGCTGGAGAACTTGGTATTTGGAGACTACATTTTAATATGATGGAGTTTGGGTGATACAATTTCATCAGAGATGTTGGATCAGGCCAGAGAAGATCAATCAGCATGCCTCTCTGAATAGCAAGGGTCAAGGAGGGTCTTTAGGGACTCAGTAGAGAGCAAACAAAGCCATTTTCTTTATATTTAACACTATTCTTAATCCTTCCCTTCTGATGTCAGCCGTGTATGGGGTTTTCCCACACTGACCAATCTTCTGCCAGATGTCTTGCACTTTAATTCAAAACTGATACTATTATTAGCGTCAGAATCCATGTTAAAGTTCAGTCCTTCAAGACCATCCTGTTCCCTTCAGATGCCAGCCACAAATACAGGCTGTGGCTTGCTCTCTATAAATCAGGGATACCTTCCTCAGCCTTGATGGTTAGCTATGATGGATCAGGGTTAAGGATACGTTACATCTACAGTGCATTATAGAGGGTCAAGTAAAGGATGTGGAGGAGCAGGCTGAATGGAAGATCTGATAAAGGGAGCAGATAAAGAGGAACATGGGGTGCAGTCTGGGATGACTCTGAGTTTAGAACCTATTGTCCTGGTGGAGTTGGGATGTGCCACTTCCCTGACTTCATCACTAACCCAGAAGTTTTCCTGTCCTTTGGGCTTTTATGGAGGTTTCCTTGGCCATTGGTGATGCATACGATCTCCAGCCTTTCTCCTCTTCCCAGAAGAGGGAGAGTGGCCAGGGGGAATTGGGATTGAAAGTTCCAGCCCTGATCCTGAGACTACCTAGGACCCCTAGGTGTCAGTCATCTCATTAGCATGCAGAAGGCACCTCGCTTCTGAGATTCCCTGGCTTTTAGAAGCAGTGTCTGGGAAAGGGAAGGAGATGTTTTTCATCATGTCACGGTCGGCATCGCATATGGATGTTCCCGTCCAAACCTGACAGAGAACTCGAGGCTTTGTTTTCTATTTCCCAGTAAGAAAGAACTTGACATAGGGAGAACAGTAGTCTGCAGGTAACAGTTAGAGGGATCGTAGAGTCAACAAGAAGCCACAGAGGAAGCATAGAAGAGCAAGGCTGTTGGAAGGGAGGTGCAGCTAGAGAAGCTGTGTGGGTTTAGGCAGGGGAGGAAAGTGGGAGCTTGGTCAGGCTGATGTAGAGATGATCTGTGTCAAGAAATGAGAGGAGCAAGAGCTATTACAGCATCTGCATGGAGTCCAGGGGAGGGCTCTTTCTTTGTTACACTCTGTCTGCTGGGACCCTTGTCATTATCCTAGTCTTGCTGATTTTTATCTCTGGCTCATGGAAATAGTCTATTCCATGTGTTTCTCAAATTTGCACCTTTCCAGAATTTAGGGAATTTTGGTACTGAGAGGAGGTGGCCCCTGTTTTCCTCTTTCCTCTGAGGTTTGGTGAATGGAATGCAGGCTGTAGAGACACCAGTTCCAGGAATTCCAGGGGGTAGGGTGCTGTAATGCACCCCAGGGGCTGCAGCAGTACCTGCAGCTCAAGGCCTCACTTACTAGCTGTGGAATGTTGCACCAGGCCCGGGAGCTCTTGGTGCCTCAGCTTCCTCCTCTACAGCATGAGGCCACTAACAGAGTTTACCTCGGGGCTGTGGTGAGGGTTCTGTGAAAAAGCACAGGTCTGGCATGCACATGTCAAGTTTGTAGTGCGTGCAAGCTGCTTATTTATGGCCACTGTTGTTATTCTTGGTGGTCCTAGATATGATCGCACTGCCCTGATGCTGAGTTCAGCAGGGACTTGGAAGAAGAACCAGCATCCAGGGTAATACTGAAGTTGTCTTTGGAAGAAAAGAAATGAAATGAGAGCTGCAAGATCTGATGGTCAGGCAGCCAGGTAAGAGTAACAGCAGCAGACACATCCATCTTACACAAGTGACCCTTTGTTAAGCTCTCTGCTGGCGATTTCTCCTCAAACACCGAGGCTGTTATTACAAGGGCTTCTCATAGCACACAGCGCTGCCAAGGCCAGGCGTATGCAGCCAGCTTCCCCAGCTGTGGGCTGGCCAGCTCCCAGCTCATCTACCGGCCAGGTACTCAGCAGTGGAAGGGCCAGAAGGCCAGCGTGAGGGGTGGATCTTGGTGGCAGACACAGAAACATGTAAAAAAGTGCTTCTTTTTAAAAGTTCCTACTTTAAAGATTGGAGTTGGGAGTCCCTAAAGACAGGAGGACAGTGAACCGCAAAGGTAGTGGCCATTTAGGTTTCTAAAATGAATTTTTGCTCCATGGAAATAAACTATTTGTTAGATGGCTTCTATGCACATGGAAGATTAATCAAGAGATTGAGATCTTTGTATAATTAAAGTCCTTTGTAGGGATCAAAGAAGCGTTGAGTGCAGAGGCTCTAACGCACAGAGACTTTGGGCGTGCACATTCCAGAGATCTTGGAGATAACTAGAGGGTTGGCTTTTTCTAGAATTAAAATGAAATTGAAGAAAAATCAGGGAACAAAGCCAGAGAGATAGCTCAGTGGCTCAGTGCTTTTCTGGCAAATGCAAGGTCCTCAGTTCAATTCCAAGTTAAAAAAAAAATCAGAAAGCAGCAAACCAAACCTACATCCAAGGCTGACTGATCCCAGATTATCCCGCTGCAGTTGGACAGGGTGTAAATGTGTGGCAGGATGCCCTCCCACAGGCTCTGTGATGTGGCTCAGGGAGGAAGGAAGGGTACTGCACCCCCAAATCCAACTGTCCCAGGCCCATTCCTCTGACTCAGTGCCTGTTTAGGTGTTCTGTCCAGGAAACAGGAAGCTGCCAGGCCAACCAGGACCTTGAGGACAGATGGGAAACCCCATCCAAGAAACACAGCCCCAGAAGCCCTCTGTTAAGAAAAAGAATAAGCCACCCAGCTTATGTGGTCCAAGGCTGCTTTTCAGCTTCTCTGAGGTCTCATTTTGCTCTGTGGTGACCGTGGCTGGTGGGCGCCTGGCACTGCCTCCTGGTCCTGGGTGGCCAGACCTGCACCTGGAGAGGCTGGTTCCCTTCAGTTTCCTGCGGGAGCCCAACATGGTGCTGCTTCTCCATACCCATGCTGTGCATTGGCTCTGCCTTTGCAGCCCTTTACATTTAACTGTGAGAAGGCAACAGCTGTGCCCTTGGTGTTGCTCGCCTGGACAACACAAAGTGTGGCAAGTTCCTAACTGGACTCCCTCCTCTTTCTTAGCCCATCTTGCACACCGCAGTTACTGTTCTAGAGCACAGATCTGCTCATACCGGCCAAGCACCGAAATCCACAGTGCCTCAGCACAGCTACGCATCCCTTAATCTCACTGTCTCCACCTCTCCCTGTTTCTGCTCTCTCATCCCCTAATCTGTCTCAACGCTGTCATGCTGTTGATAGTCACAAACGCCATTGCATTTTCCTGCTTTGTACTTTTGCTTCTCTGATTCCTTCTCCTTCACTATTTCCCCAGCTTCCAATGATCTCAGATGCCTTCTCTTGGGTGAAATCTGCTCACTTCCCCCAAACAGAGCTAGCTGACTAATCTCTTTGCCTCCACAGAATTTCGCTGCTGTTTCCATTTGAATATTTTCTTCTGCTTTGCATTTGAGTTTGTTGCTTGCTGTATATCTCTCCCCGCACTGTAATGTCCTTTAAGTTAGACTTTGCCTTATTCACCTCAGTGTCTACTGAAAATATTGCTTTGCTTGATGGAATAGATGCTTAATCTTTCTCTGTTAAATTCAGCAGGGTCAAAGGCAGCGTGCTTCTTTTTCAACTCAAATGCCTTTGGCTTTCTGTATTTTCAGATCGTGCTATGGGTGTGGAGTCTCCAAGTTCTTGGATAAATACATTCTTGCTGTTGGAGTGATAAGTGGTCAGTTATTCACATTCAACTCATGTTCAAATTGGTAGATCTATCGAAAAAACAACACAGAAGTTGGATTTGGGTGAGGACATGAAATTGACCCTTGACCAACCTGGATGAACTCAAGGTTAAACTAAGCATCATGCCTCTTGTGCACCTGGGATTGAAGCTCCATCCAAACTCAAAAGCAGAAGAGCTCAAGAAGAGCTCAGGCCACACACATCCCTTTCTCGGTTTCTGTCTCTTTGAACAGGCAAATAGTATTTATAATTGTTGACTCCTGCCAACTTTTCCTTCACTCTCAAATATTTAAATAATGTGTGTATGTATGCATAGGTTATATTTTGCATACATTGAGTTATACTTTAATTCCTGCAACATGCTTTTATTTTCATCATGATGCTATGTCTTAGGAAAACGTTCAGCCCATGTTGATGTCTCATTATTTTTATAGGCCACATATAATTTACAGTATGGGTGTATCATAAAATTTTACTATTTTTTACAAATACAAGATTCTTGAATGACAGTTATTTTCTCTTGTTTTGTTAAAAATGTCATTAAACTGACTTCTGGTTTCCATTATGGCTGCTGGGTTTCAGCTGTCAGCTGAGTGGATGGGTGGGAAGTCGTCTGTCTTGTCTCCTTGTTGTTACTACATTTGCCCTGATATATAAGGGCATGAATTTTTTTAAAATTTATTCTACCTCAGAAACTGTGTATCTTGAATCTATGGGTTACTGCCTTTCAACATTATTAGGAAATTTCTTGGCTATTATCTTTTCAAGTATTTCCTTTGCCATCTTTCCTTTCCTTCTAGAAATCAGATTAGATACATGTTAAATCTGCAATCTGTGCCTCTTATTAATTTATTTATGTTTCCCATATGTTGTCTCTTTGCAATTCTTCATTGTGTGTAGCTACTTTTTAAAGGAGGGTTCTACCATTTTACTAACTATCTCTTGTTGGGTCTATTGCATTGAGTCTGTCTGTTGAGCTTCAAATCTAACTATAATATTTTCAACATCTAGAAATTTTTTTTGGTCCTCTGTAAATCTTCTTGATTGTTTTTATAGTTTCTTATCTATTGCACATATTTTTCAAGTTTATAGTTTCCTCCTCTGGTTATAGAGTAAACATGGCTATTTTTATAATTAAATTATTTTGATAATTAGTTATTTTTTTGTTGTTTCAGAGGCTTCTCTCTCTTGGTGGCGGGTTTTCTTGTGTGCTTAGTGAATTTTTACATAGAAAAGTTTATGTTCTTGGTGCGTGTGTTCATGTGTGTGTGTATGCACGTGTGTATGTTTGTGTGTATACATGAACTTACTTGAATAAGAATGAAGGTGATGGATTCATCTGTGATTATTTTTACCTTTGCAATGCATCTGAAAACCTTACCGACTCACAACAATTTCAAGCCAAATACTTGTTTTGAGTTTAATAAATAAACCTATATAACTTCATTCGTTTTTAATTGACAAATACCAACTGCATTTATTTAACACATGAAACATGTTGCCTTGAAATATATACACACTGTGGAACGATCCAGAGCTTTTTTAGGCCCTTCATTTGGGCAATAAATCTGTGGAGAGGAACAGCTTGTGAGTATAATTTGAGGCTTTTTTGGTTTTCTTCTTCTAAAACTGTAACCCTTTGGGGCCCTTTTACGGAAGGAGAACGTTCTGCTTTTGGTTGATCTTGGCATTCTTCAAACTACACAAATGAGACAAATAAAGGCTGTAGCTCTGGAAGATGCCCTTATGGGGTGAGCCAGCTTCTGTGTTCATCAGTAATTGTCTAGTTTTAGTAATTTTTTAATTGTTCTGTGGCTTCTTTTGCCTTTAAGATATGTTTAGTGCTGTTTCTCTGGCATTTTAGTTGTTGTGAGTGGGCTTCTTGGTCTGGAAACTCAGCCATCTATGCTACCCTTCCACAATTAATTCAACCATCTCATTTCCACTGGAAATTCAATTTTTCCTCTAATTTTTTTTCCTATTATAAATCTGCCACACTGAATATATGTCTTTGCCCACATGTGAGTATGCCTCTCAGGTAGATGACTATAATTGGAAGTGCTGGGTGGAAGAGTAGGTGTATTTTAATTTAATTTTGATGCAGGAAGGCATTACTAATTTGTCATCCCCAGAATAGTGTATGAGAATGTTCTTTTCCACAACCTCTCACCAGCACTAGATTTTCATACTTAAGTATTTATGCAAATATCATGGATAAAGACATATAGTTGTTTTAACTTAGGGTTCTTGTTCATTAATGAGCTTTATTATCTTTTAATTTCTTTATTTAGCATTTGTATTTTTCATTTTTTTGAAATGTCTATTTATATACCTTGTCCTACTTTTTGAAAAAAAAATCAGATTGTTGTTATCTTACCTATATAGAGGATTTCTTTCCATAATCTGGATATTAATCCTTTGTCTCCATATTTGTTGCATTTTTTTCAAAAAATGCACATTAACTTTTGATGTTTTTCAAACTCCATAGTTTTCAAAAAGAATTTCAGTACTCCAATGTTTCATTTTCTTTCTTTATGGCTTTTGAGTTTTGCATTTTGTTCCTAATAGCTTTATAGCTTTGTTTGTTGTGTTTAACTGTTTGGTAAACTTAGGTTTAATTTTTGTAAATGGTGCAACATAAGAACATAAATATGAATATGAATTGGTAATTAGGTACCATTTTTGTTTCACCAAAGACTTGGAAAAACACAGCCACTTATTTTATATTAAATTTCCATGTGTACATTAGATTGTGTCTGACTTTTTCTTTGATCTTGTCTGTTCTTGTTCCAAAATCCTATTTTAAATTATCTTATCTTTATAGCCTATTTTGAAAACTCAGAAAGTTTCCCTTGATTGTTTTTTTCCAAAATTTGCTTTACTATTCTAATGTGTTCTTTTTTCTAAATAAAATCAACTTAAGTAGGATAACAAATCCTTTTGCAATCTTTTTTTTTTTTTTTAAACTAGGCATTGAGCTCACGACCCTATTCTTGCTAGGCAGGCGCTTGTGCTGCTGAGCTAAATCCCCACCCCTGTTTTTGCAATCTGGATAGTAATGACATTGATTTATATTTAGTGTGAAAGGAATTGAAATCTTCATAATAGTAAACATTTTAAGATCATGATTTAATCTGGGCTTTAAAAAAGTCCTTCAATTACTTTAACAAAAGCTTCCTGTATGTTGTTCCTGTTATCTTTTAAAGATACTTTACATGCGACTGTACTGAATGGGATATTCATTTTTTTTTTTAATTGGTACTGGGGATTGAACTCACGACTGCCTGCTTGCAAGGCAGGTGCTTATGCCGCTGAGCTAAATCCCCAGCCCCAGGATATTCATTTTTACGATGTCTTATAATTGTTTAATTCTGGAAGAAGAGGGATTTTGTTGATCATGTATCCAACATCTTTGGTTAATTCATCATTAGTTTTCATTATCTTGAGATTTCTTAGAAGCTATCATGTCCACTGTAGATAATGATATATCAATCTCCAAATTCTGCCTCTAAATTCAATAGGAGGCTACATTACACAAGGTGGAACCTATAGTTCTTATTTATGTCATTGCTTCTTTAACTTGATAATGTGTTGAATTAGATTAAGAGATTTCATACTGACACATCCTAACATAATTAGAATAAGCTTAATTTGATGTCTATTTAAAGAAAACACTACTGTAGCCCATCTGCTGCCACTTATTTTTATCACTTTTGCAGTTATTTTCCTGAGAATGGCCAATGATTTCCTTATGTACCATTTTCATCTTGATGTCAGGGTTAGTCTCACATGATGGGATGAATTACTGGCCACTACCCTCTCAATGGATTTCTTTAAATAACACAGATTTTGTGTGCTTGGTAGAATTTCCCACGAAAAATATTTGAGCCTACTCTCATTTTGGCTAAGTCTCTGACATTCCAAAAATTTTATTATATTATTATTTTTTGGAATGTTTATTTATTTTTTGGTTTGTAAAATTAGTGGTACAATTTAGATATACATAAAGATCATGTTTACTGTTGGGACTTTGTGCCTGTATGTGACTTATCTTGGTCTCCTCTGTCTTGCCCAGTTCCCTCTTTTCCCTTCAACCCCTCTTCCCTTCTTATTCACAAAGCTGTGTTTCCATTTTACCCTACTTTTTATGAGTTTTTCCTTTTCTCTTCCATTCTTTCTTTCCCCTCTCTAGTTTCTCTTTCCTTTTAAACAATTGCTTCCTATTTCACAATACCTATTGTACATTTCAGTCCTTATTTACTCTTCCAGTGTCTCATACCAGGGAGAAAATGTGATATTTACACATATGTGTTCAATTTATTTCACTTAAGAATACAGTCTCAAGGTTGATCCATGTAGCTAGCAATGTCTCAAGTTTATCCTTCTTTATGGCTGAAGAGAACTACATTGCATAAAAAACATTTTTTAATCCATGCTTGGTTGATGGACATTTGGGTTGATTCCAAGATTTAGCTATTACAAACTGTGTTGCTATAAACATGTGTGTGCATACATTGCTGAAGTATGATGTTTTTAATTCTTCTGGGAAGTTACCCAGGAGAGAATAACTAGTTCAAAAGGGACCTCTAATCCTAGTTTCCTGAGAAATTTTCACACTGATTTCCACAGTGTAGGCACAAGTGCCTACACTCCCACCTACTGTGGAGAAGGGTTCCTTTTTGCCAATACTTATTATTGGTTGATTTCTTCATAATAGCCATTCTTTCTGGAGTGAGATAAGAATCTCAGCATTGTTTTAATATGCATCCCTTGAATGACCAGTGTAGAGAGTAATTTTTTTCCAGCACCATTTATGAAAGAGACTTTCTTCCAGTGAACATGTTTGGCCCCTTTAACAAAGACAAGGTGACAGAATGTGTTTGGAGTTATTTCTGTATCTTCTAATCTGTTGCACTGATCGTCCGTTCTGCTTTGCTTCTTCCAGTACCATGCTGTTTTTTTAAAATCACAGTAGCTTTGTAGTATAATTTTAAGTCAGTGATTTTGATGCTCCCTGTCTTGCCTTTGTTGACTAGAATTGTTTTTGCTGTTCTAGATCTCTTCTGGTTCCAAATGAATTTTAGGAATGTTTTCTCTAGTTCTGTGAAGTATGATGATGATATTTCAATTGGGATTGCATTAAATCTGTATAACTATTTTGGTGTATGGTCACATTCATTATATTGGTTTTCCTTATCCATGAGCAAGAGATATATTTCAATTTTTGATATCCTTTTCAATTTTATTATATTATTATGGGTCTACTAAGTTTTTCCTGAGTCATGTATGTTTAGAGAAAAACATGTAATTTATGTGGAATTTCAAATGTATTGGTACAAAGTTGTATAAAATATTTTGCATATTTTAAAAGACTAGTTTTATACCTATAGTTATGTTTTATTCTAATTTTTAACATTGTTTGCCATTTTTCCTTTATTAGACTTAGTTTATTTTATTGATCTCTCTAAAAAAACCCCTGTAAGTTCTAAGTTTAAAATTTTTAAATTTGGGTTTTCATACATTGACATTTACTTTTTGGCTACTAATTACTTACTTCTTTTGGGAGAGGGGTTATTCTGTTTTTATTTAGCTTCTAAAATTGGACATAGTTTATTTTTAATTACTTTTGTTGTAATAAATTCATGAGATTACATATTTTCCTTTTCTCTCCCATGCAGTAGATATATGCTTACCTTTTGTAGATTTTATGTATTATGATAAAATACAAAACACAAAATTTATCAGCTTAACCATTTTTAACTGTACATTCTCAGTGATGCAATCCTCACCACCCTCTAGCTCCACAGTGCTTTTTAGTTTGTAAAACTAACACTCTGTACCCAGTAACCTCCCATTCTCCTTCCCCACCACATTTTACTACTCTAAACACTTCATAGAAGTGGAATCATACAACATGTCTTTTTATTACTGGGCTATTTCACTAAGTACAATGTCCTCATGCTTCCTCAAAAGATACTGAGTTGTAGTGTGTTGCAGAATTTCCATTCTTTTTAAAACTGACAGATATTCCATTATATGAATAAACCACATTTTGCTCATCTGTTCATCCATCAGTGGACACATAGGTTGCTTCCATTTTTTTGGCTATTGTGATTCTTCTACTGAGCAAGTCTGTTTATGAATCATTCTACTGAATACAGTATTTCATCTCAGTTATTGTAGTTCTTAGTCCCAGAATTTCTGTTTGATTTCTTGTTAGTTTTTCTACCTATTTATGAATATTTCATTTTTTCAAATGTTAATTTCTTTACTTTCTTCATTATCTCTTTAAGTTTGGGGATTAAGACTTTTATTTTAAAATCTTTGTCTAAGAGTTGCTATCCATGAAGCCATATTCAGGGACATTTTCTGTTGATTTATTTTTTTCCTTTGAATGGATTGTACTTTTCTACCTTTTCGTATGTCTTGTGATTTTTTTTTTGGTTGAAAACTGAACATTTAAATCTAAAAATGTACTAACTTTGGAAATTAGGGTTTCCTTTGGCTGCTACTGTTTTTGCTTTTTTGATCATTGTAGATTGTCTTGATGCCAAAGTTCAGTTTGAGAATGCAAACTTGATGTCTTCTTGTTTTGTATGTGCCTTCCCCTGGCAGGTGTAGGCAGTTTCTAATTCTTCCTTCACAGGCAGCTGTTTTTGGGTGTCCTAGGGTTTAATGTCTGGCTTTCAAAAGCAGAGCCCTGGCCCTTTAAATCTCTTGGAAGTCACTTTAGCAAGAGGAGGGCTTTGCAAAAATAATGGTAGGAGTGCAAATGCGATGGCTGCAATCTGTTTGTAGATGGCAGTCACAGCACAGATACCTGATATCTGGACGACAGGGTGTTTTGTGCCCATCTGGCTCCTGAAAGCTGTGTACAGGCTGCTTCACGAACCAGTGTCTAGTGGATGTCATGAGGCTGAGAGTGGTACCTGCTACTGTGCTAAGAGCTGAAGTTGATTAACATTCACCATCATTTACCATCCAAACTTTCTCTGGACTCCAGATCCCCCAAATGCAGTGATGTACCACAAAATGATGTGTTGGTCACTGACAGATTGCATATGTAGTACCATTATGGCTTCATAAGATCGTATCACCTAGCGATGTCATTGCTGACTCAGTTTGTGCAAGTGCATTCTTTTGCTTGCATAGTGGTGAAATCACCTAGCAACGTGCTTCTCTGAATGCATCGCATTATCAAGTGACACACGACTGTAGTTAAGCAAGACAGATGGGGGTCAGTGTATTGTGCTCTCAGCGGGGAGACAGATTCCTGGTGCTCTCTACCCTGCCATCTTCCCAGAATCCTCTCTCTGTATTTTTCTTT